CTGTCTATGGTGTTGTGAGACTGTGCTAGATATGTCGGGTAGTGGTAATCAATGGAGAAAATGGATGATGGCGGTGCATCTCGATGCCTTCCTTTTTTTCTATTAGTGAATGATTGGACACTGATTTTCTTAAGAAGCTCTGAAGGCCTGAAGCCTGAGAATGCCCCACCCTATTTTTTTTGTTAATACTCAACTTGAAGTCTTAGAGACATTTTGATTGCCAATGAGGCTGGGCTGGCTTCATAGAAGTAGATGTGTCGTTTATTATAACTTTTTAACACCACATTGGTTTTGTGCTGCAAGAAGCAAATAATATGAAAACTTGCGGTTGCCACCTAGATGTCGCTAAACAATGTCAGGTCTGAATATAAGCTCCACCATTGATGATGGTATTTTGAACGATAAGTCAAAAGGTCATGCTTATAGGTTGTTGTATGGGCTGGGGATGCTTTGAACGTTTAGTTAGATGGTCATGCTTATAGGTTGTGATATGGGTTGGAGATGCTTCAAAATGGCCATCGTCGTGCCAAGTTTTCGCTAGAAGTGTAAGAAAACTCTTTGGGACCTGTTGAAGAGAAATATAAATTCGGGCTTGCTGTTGGAAGAGTGAATTCCTCACTTTGTGCTCCGATTGACTCTCATTCATGAAATGCTTTGTCATCTCCAGCTCTTCTCTAGATACTTTTTAGATATTAACATGTGTGAGTGGAGATAGTCAATAGGGTTTATAGGGATCTCATATAGCAAAGCAATGATAAGGGATCCAAGGTTCACTTGATGTGGACTAAGAGGTGTCCAAGCCTTAGGCTTGGGGTGGTTGAGCGTTAGGCATGTGGGTCACGCTAATAAAGGCATTGTTAAGAAAGTGTAGTAGCATTTTTTGGGAAGTGTTTAGGTGTGTGGGCCTTTGGGGTCCAAGGTCATCAAGGAAAAGTATGGTCACAGTTGGGATGGGTTGGGTGTGAGGATATGGTTTATAGTTACCCGAATCGTGTACTGAGGTCGCGATTCACGACTCTGTGGTTGCTAGGATGAAACATGATTTTGGAAGATAGGAATCACGTTTTCAAGTTTCTCGAAACATGTTCTAGATTATTATGTGAATCTCGATTTCGGGAAGCTTGGAATCTAGATTCCATATTTTAGAATTTGTGATTGATAATTGCACAACAATCACAAATTGATAGTTGCCAAAAGTTAGGATCGTTTCTAGTCCACCCCTCCTTGGGAACTTGCTTAGGCGGCACTAGCACCGGGTTACGGCCCTTTAGTTGCACAACAACGCATCCTTTATTAGCGTGACCAACATGCCTAACATCCAACCACCCCGAGCCTAAGGATTTGACACTTCTTAGTCCACATCAAGTGAACCTTGAGTCCCTTATCATTGCTTTGCTACATGAGATCCCTATAAACCCTATTCACTATCTCCACTTACACATGTTAATATTTAAAAAGTATCTAAAGAAGAGCTGGAGATGATAGAGAATTTCATGAATGAGAGTTAATCGGAGCAAAAAGAGAGGAATTCACTCTTCCAACAAGAAGCCCGAATTTATATTTCTCTTCAACAGGTCCCATAGAGTTTTCATACGCTTGCTGCTAAGGGGTTTACTCGAACTTATGGAATTGACTATCAAGAGACATTCGTTTCAGTGAGCAAGATGAATTCTATTGGGTCCTTTTATCTCTGGCAGCTAATATGGAGTGGCTGTTGCACCAACTAGATGTCAAGGAATGTGTTCTTTCAAGGGGATTTGTAGGAAGAAGTGTACATGCTACCTCCACTTGGATTTAGGGCTCCTGGAAATGAGAGAAAAATGTATAGATTGAAAAAGGCCATTTATGGGTTAAAGCAGTCTCCCCGAGTATGGTTTGAAAGGTTTAGTGTTGCTGTCCAAAGAGTTTGATATTGTCAGACTCCTGCTGATCATACTTTATTTATGTATGTAGATGATATGTTGTGACAGGGAATTGTCTTAAAGAAATTCAACAGCTCAAGAGCTTTTTGGCAAGAGAATTTGAGATTAAAGATCTTAGCTCACTGAAGTATTTTTTTGGGATAGAAGCTGCCAGGTCTAAGAAAGAAATCTTTATCTCTCAAAGGAAGTATGTGTTGGATCTCCTTAAGACCTGCTGATACTTCTATGGAACACAATCACAAGCCTGATGCCAAAAAGGGTAAAGCACTTAAAGATGTAGTTATGTTCCAAAGGTTGGTGGGTAGATGGATATATCTTTCACTCACACGTTTAAATATTGCGCATGCAATGAGTTTGATCAGTCAGTTCATGCATGTTCTTAGAACTACTCATCTTGAATCTGCTACAGAGTTCTTAGATATTTAAAATCATCACCAGGTACAGGATTGTTGTTTGCTAGTCATGGTCATCTATGAGTTGAGGCTTATACAAAGGTTGATTGTTATGAACCAAAGATGTACATCAGGGTATTGCACTCGAGTTAGGGGTAACCTGGTCACTTGGAGTATAAAACAATCAGTTGTAGCCTTGTCACGTGCTGAACCAGAGTATTGTTCATTACTCATGGTATGTGAATTGTTATGGATAAAAATCTTATTGTGGGAGCTTGGTTTTGCTTTGAAGGTATCAATCTCCTTACATTGTGATAACAATGCAACCAGTAGTATAACTCACAATCCTGTTCAGCATGATCGGACCAAGCATATCTAGGTAGACCAACATTTTATTCGAGAAATAGTTGCTTCCAGAGAAATTTGTGTTCCTTATGTGAAGCTAGACGATCAGCTAACAGATATTCTGACTAAGGCTGTTGGTAAACATCAACTATGAGTTATCTAGCAAACTGGGCATGGTTGATATCTATGCACCATCTTGAGAGGGAGTGTTGTGACATTGATTATTAAAGGCTTAGTCATCATTATATTGCATTCAAGTCTCTAAGGACTTAGTTGCCCTTTTTTTCCACAGAAGGACATTCTTGTACAACAAGTAAGTCACGGGGATATAATTAAGCATTTCAATTTGGGATAATGAAAATATGGAAAATCATTATAAAAGAAATGACCTTAATACAATGGAAATGAGAGATTGTGTATATCACTATGCACCGCAGCTATTACCTACAATTCAACAACTAAGATTTTTACAATTATACATTTAAGGGATTGAAAATAAAATAGACAATGTATGTATTATTCCATCTTAATCAATGAACCCTAAATTTATTGGGGGTATGCCCAAAACTCTTTTTGAATGTAGCCCCTCTATAACTAAATTTAAAACTCTTAATGAGATTCAAAACTTAGATGTATATGAAATTTTCCTTTTCAAGAGTAGTAGTTGAAATCAACTAATATAAATAAAACCTTTGAAACTAAAGCACATTGATGCCATGGGAAAGGAAAACGATACCGGCTTTGTTAGAGCATAGGTCCAATAGGGAGAGCTCTTCTTTTATGTGGGAAACATCTGCATGGAAGATTTTTTACATTGACGATAGAGAGAGGTGCACCCACCAGAAACTTACACAGCTATAACAGTGTGTTACATTCTCCAGATCACCCCATCCTGTGGATCAAAATGTGATGACCACATGACCATGGACATTTGGAAGTCACGAGATCATATTATATTTTTTCATGTATTTAAGATTTTTCAAATCAAATTAGTAGATGAAAATTTGGCAACCACAATTTTTGTGCTTTCCAAAAGAAAGAAAAATTTAAACCTGTTACAAAAATAACATAGCTATGCCATCTCAAAGAAGAAAGGAAAACAAGAAAGAAGACTCTTTTTCGGCTAATTGGGATAGAAAATACATTAAGTAATTACTGCACCCCAACTAGCCCCAACTTGAAACTAGAAAAAAAAAATGAGTGGTACTGGAGGTCAGCATGACCTAACATTGCCTTCTCTTTTTCTTCCTCACTCCACATCCTCTTCCTTCTTCTTTGCTTCTCTCATGTAGCACTTGATCTCTTTATCTTTGTTCTTCCTTTTCCTCATCCTTTGATCATGTACTGCTGTATTTTTAACTTGGGGTTTTCTGATGATAAACATTTATCTTCTTTGAAAGGATGCTGAGGAGGTGGCAGATCATTAGTTTTCATCTCTTTCTACTATGTCACTGTGGCTAGGAATATTTTCTGAAGCATCTTGGATCTTTTCGTATTATCTGGATTCTTTCTAATTTCTTTCCTCATCATGAGAGTGGTAACTTACATCCTAGAGAAAAATGTTTAAAGTGCTTTGACAAGTCTTAAACAGGATATTTGATAAATAATGAATCATTGCTGGATATTCATTATTCAATGCAACAGCCCTCCATGGCGACAATTGCACTTATTTCTTGAGGTAGATGGAATCTAAGTTGAAAGAGACTTATACAGTTATACATGGAGAAGTTACTCCAGATGAAGTTCAATAGTTTAGATGCTCTTAACGATGTTTTGGAGGAACAAAGTTGAATATCAGCTATAGAATTTGATATATGCGTGCAAATACACATGTACACACACACACACATGTATGCATGCATATGTAGACATATTTGTTGCTAATTTAATATACACATGTGCTTTTGCGTATGTGCGCATTACAGAGTCACACTTCGGTGTATTTTGAAGTCAACAATGTTTGTGTGAGGGTCTACGTGCATAAATCTATGGACACACTTACACTCACACTCACACATATAGACAGACACATACTTACATACACGCACAAAACATAGACAGAAACACAGTATGGGTCTACGGAAACTATTCAAATTCTGTAAGAGATGCTTGTAATAAATGCATCAATTGGCTAGCCTAATAAACACATTCATATCAGTTTACCAAAATGCGTGACACAAGGCACAAAACATGAAAAAAGAAATAATGGCATTGTTGAGGGGAATTAGAGTAGTGTTTGCCTGCAAAATGCATATGTTCCATGTCTCCATCATTCTGTGTGCATATTTACGAAGTTTTTGATTGTATTGCTAATTGAGTTTTCTTTCTCCCTTCTGTTAAGGTTGATCGTGTTCTTGGGTGTCGATTACGAAATTGCCAGGCAATTTCTGCTGCTCTCGATCACACAAACATAGATTCGCTTTCATCTCACTTGGAGTTGAAGACGCATCCTGTGATGCATGCAGCTTTTGCTGAACCCTCTTCTGATGTAATCGTTCTGGAAAATAATGATCTATTGGAAGATCATCCTGTTGGTATCGAAGTTGCCAATGTGGATGGCCTTGAGAATAGTGCTATCGAGGACATCAAGAAAGAGGACTGTTTTGTTGATGCAGAATACTTGAATGGTAACACTGAAATTAACACAGAAAAGGACCATATCTTGGCATTTGAAGGACAGCCTCTTGGGGTTATGGGTGGCAGATCATTAAATATTGAGACCAGGGATGGATCTTCTTTTAATTTAGAACTGAAAAAAGAAAAAAAGGGTAAAATGATAGGAAAAAATTCAAATGTTGAACTTGGCGATGCTGACGTTTGTGATGATCCTAAATGTACAACTCTGGTTTTATCCGAGTCCAATGTTTCATCCAAAGAAAAATTATGTGGTAGTGTTGTGGAGAAGGGAAAGGAAATATCATATTCTGGTAATGGGGCTAATGCCACAGATGATGATAAACAATATGAGTTTCTTGTGAAGTGGGCTGGAAAATCTAATATTCACAATAACTGGATTCCTGAATCAGAACTAAAAGTTCGTGCAAAGAGGAAATTAGACAATTACAAAGCAAAGTTTGGAACTGCTGTAATAAACATTTGTCAGGAGCAGTGGAGCCGGCCACAACGGATAATCGCTTTGCGTGTTTCTCAGGGGAATACAACAGAGGTGCTTGTTAAATGGTGCGGTCTGCCTTATGATGAATGCACTTGGGAAAGACTTGATGAACCTGTTATCAAGAAGGCAGCAAAGTTGATTGACAATTTCAATCAATTTGAGCAGAGGACATTAGATATGGATGCTGCTCCTTCTGCAGGTATGGAAAATGCAAAAGGTGAGTGCCAGATAAATGAAGTTGCAACCCTTGTAGAGCAACCTAAAGAGCTTAAAGGAGGTGCTTTGTTTTCGCATCAGTTAGAAGCATTGAACTGGTTGCGTAAATGCTGGCATAGATCAAAAAATGTTATCCTTGCTGATGAGATGGGGCTTGGAAAAACTGTTTCAGCTTGTGCTTTCATGTCATCACTATATTGTGAATTCAAGGTCAGGTTGCCTTGTTTGGTCTTAGTTCCTCTATCCACTATGCCTAACTGGCTGGCTGAGTTTGCTTTGTGGGCTCCACATCTGAATGTTGTCGAGTATCATGGATGTGCAAAAGCAAGATCAATGATTCGTCAGTATGAATGGTATGCAACTGACCCAGATGGGAAGCAGACGAAACTGAACAAGTTCAATGTTATCTTAACTACTTATGAGATGGTGATGGCTGATGCTTCTCATCTGCGTGGCGTGCCCTGGGAAGTTCTCATTGTTGATGAGGGGCATCGTCTGAAAAACTCAAGTAGTAAACTTTTCAATTTGCTTAACACATTCTCATTCCAGCACCGCGTGTTGCTGACGGGGACTCCTCTGCAAAACAATCTAGGTGAGATGTATAATCTGCTAAATTTCTTGCAACCACTCTCCTTTCCTTCACTTTCATGGTTTGAAGAAAAGTTTAATGATCTTACAACTGCTGAGAAAGCGGAAGAACTAAAAAAGATTGTTGCTCCACATATGCTTCGGAGGCTTAAGAGAGACGCAATGCAAAATATACCCCCTAAGACTGAGCGAACAGTTCCTGTGGAGTTGTCTTCTATCCAAGCAGAATACTACCGTGCCATGCTTACAAAGAACTATCAGATATTACGCAATGTGGGAAAAGGTGGACTTCAACAGTCGATGCTGAATATTGTTATGCAGCTCCGGAAGGTTTGCAATCATCCGTATCTCATCCCTGGAACAGAACCGGAATCTGGGACCTTGGAGTTTCTACATGAAATGCGTATAAAAGCTTCTGCAAAGCTGACTCTGTTACATGGTATGCTCAAAATATTAAAAAGGGAAGGTCATCGTGTCCTCATATTCTCACAAATGACAAAACTTCTTGATGTCCTTGAAGATTATTTGACAGTTGAGTTTGGGCCCAAATCATTTGAGAGAGTGGATGGGTCTGTAGCAGTCGCAGACCGTCAAGCTGCTATTGCTCGCTTTAACCAAGACAAGAGCCGCTTTGTGTTTCTTTTATCAACTCGTTCATGTGGTCTTGGAATAAATCTGGCTACTGCTGACACTGTCATTATTTATGATTCCGACTTCAATCCACATGCAGATATTCAAGCAATGAATCGAGCACACCGGATTGGGCAGTCAAAAAGACTCCTTGTATATAGGCTTGTCGTTCGTGCTAGTGTAGAAGAACGAATCCTTCAGCTTGCTAAGAAGAAATTGATGCTTGATCAGCTCTTTGTGAACAAGGCGGAGTCTCAAAAGGAAGTGGAAGACATTCTACGCTGGGGAACAGAAGAACTCTTTCACGATTCTGCTGGTGCACCTGGAAAAGATTCTCTGGAGAACTCTGGAAACAAAACTGGAATTCCCTCTGATCCAGAGCAGCGACATAGGAGGAGGACTGGTGGCTTAGGAGATGTTTATCAAGACAGGTGTATGGATGGGTACACAAAATCTGTTTGGGATGAATCGGCGATACTAAAATTGCTTGATCGTTCAAACCTTGATTTGGGAGCATCTGAAAGTACTGAAGGAGAGGTGGAGAATGACATGCTTGGTTCAGTTAAGGTGATTTCTAGAACCACTTTTTGCTATTTTTTATTCGCAAGTTCTGTACACCAGATTATTTGTTTTTACTCTTCTTCAATTCTATGTATAATGTTGGGGATACTTGGCTAAATGCCTCTTGTCTGGCAAAGCAATTATTATTAATTTTTTAGATGATTCCAATAACAGCTAGGTCCAGTTAAGGTGATCTCTAGAACTGTGTTTTTCTATTTTTGGTTGTACTTGCTGCATTCCAGTTTCTATCTTGAACTCGTGTTCAAAATCTTCTCCAAAAATGCATTTGTAAATTTATTGATAATACTTTTGTAAATTTCCTTCTGCCAGGAATACCCAGTAGTCATAATTACTGCCAGATCATTCATCTGATGCAGTGTTCATACCTTTATTTATATTTTTATTTATTTTTATTTTTTCCCCTAATGGTGATCTACTACACTATGTGTTATTTTGAAGAGGGCTTTATTCTGTACAGTATCTTCTATTTAACAGGATATACATAAAAAAAACTTTTGCTATGGCAAATAAAATTTTAATAGGTACTATGACCAGTTATGACGCATTGTCATGCATATCTTCATAGGGAAACATTGCATGCTGAGAATTATTATTAAACCACGTGGTAATGTAAAGGGCTGTAACCCGGTGCTGGTCCTGCCTAAGCAGGGTCTTGGTAGGGGTGGGCTGGACCCTTCTTGGGACTCAACGTGGCGAAATGGATTCAGCTTGACTTGGGATGGGCTCCGAGTGTATCAAGAAACGTTTCTAAATGATTGTAAAAGATGATAGTAAATGGGGGAGAGAGATTCCAGTGAATGTATAAAAAGAAATAACAAGAAAAAGTCCTATAGTTATGTTTTCTGTAAACTGGATACGATTGCTGTAGAAGAATTTATTCGTAAATATTATAGATTGTCCGTTGCGCTCTAGCTTATTGGTAGTCTCATCAGTTTGGGTGAGGGAGGTCAAGCGTTCGAACCCTTGAAGTTTGTCCCGAAAAACCAAACAAGCTGACCTATACTTTTTTGTAAAATATTATAGACATATGCGAAGGTATGCATACCTTAAAATGAATGGAAAAAATTAGTTGGGTGAAGCATAATTATGAGGGACTGTATAATACTCAATTATGAGTGACTTTATGATACTCTATTTAGTATTATAGAAATTCTAAACACCTGTTCAGTTTGAGAGGTACTGGAAATTCAAGAAAAGCTCCTTTAGCTTATTAAAATCTTGAACTGTATGGTCTAAAAGATATTTATAAAACCATGCATGTTGGCTATTGCAATATAATGATCCTAAAATTGTTCTTGCAAAGAAAAGAAATGATTGATACCTACCAAAAGTGGATAAACATCATCGGGTCATAAATTTTCCTATCTGGTGATTGAAACCTCCAAAATCCTTCCGAATCATACGAAATTCTTTGAATGTTTTCTAAAAGAAGTAGAAGTTTCTAAAAAAACATTTTAAAGGGAATTGGTGTCTTGTTATGATTAGAAGTAAACCTTTTTAAAGGGAATTGGTTACTTGTTACAACAAGGCGATTCTTCATCAAAGATGCCAAGCTATATTAGAATCTGGCCTGTCCCGCACAAACTTGTCTTGGTAGTTACTTATGCTTTTTTATTTTGTTGGGTTTTTTACGTAGCATTCGCTTCCACATGGCTCAGTAGGGCCATGCAGCGAGTTACCTTGGGACTTCCAATTCAAATTGCCTTGTTCTCAATATATGGTTGGATAGACCTTGCTATCTATAAAGAAGAAAAAGAGGACCTTGCTATCTTAACTTTCATATTGATTTCTTGAGTCTCATAATAAACCTTGTGTGATTATAACAATGCTTTAGGCTAAGTAAACATTCAAGAAAAGAAAACCACCATTCTTTAACATTATGTATTCTGGTGAGAACTATAATCTATTAGGATGGGTCAAAAAACCTTCTTGTCATCTATTAAATTACTTTTTTTGTGAATATCAAAAGAATTGCTCACAAAGAGTGTTGTCTATATTCTAGGAATGTAGTTGGATTAGAATTGAAGATTCTTACATCCTCACAGCATGTTCATTGTGATGAACCATGTTTTAGAACCAAACAGGGCATTGAAGTGCAAAGCCGTCATGTCTAATTTTCCTTGTCGTAGGTTAGAAGAATTATATAATTGTTAGGAAATTAGAGATAAATGGCAATTATAAGAAAATAAAATATATGAGAGGATAAAATAAAGAAATAATCATCAAAGTGGACATCTTTATTTTTATTTTTTATTTGTTTTGTTGGGGGGGGACTTTTTAGATTAGTCCCACATTGGCATGTGAAGTGGTTGTCCTTGTAGGTGCTCTGGCATCTATAAATACCACAACCCATGAGGTAAATGTCACTCTGCATGGCAGCCTGTCATAATGAGATGACTTTTTTTAGTGGCAAAGCGAGACAACCAATAGGTGGCTTATCTTTCTACATTTTATTTTTCTAGAAACCGGCATGGTGAAAATGGAAAAATGGGGCAGTACTGGTTCATCAAAAGCCGGGTGACCTGGTTTTTTCACCTAACCAGTTCAAGTCTGGTTCTTGGTTCTTGGGCAATTGTGGTCTTTGAACTGGACTGTACCGATCCCTTGCCGAGTCCCAGTCAGACTCGTTCAAACTGAGCAGTCCAGTCTTGTGCTGATAGCGTTGCTGATGAGTACGATCTAGGTTATGAGTAAGTTGAAAATTCTTCTCTTTGAATAACATAACAAATATAGTCCATTATACACTCCATGCATACTGTCTTGAGCTTGGAGCTTTTTATGCCAGTAACTTAATGTCAACTACCCTATTATATTTGGTTTGAATATCTTTTAAAACTTCCGACTTGAAACAGAGAATCATATTTACAAAATGACTCTCCTCTGATTTTCTTAGATAACAAAGCAGGTCTGAGTACAAAGTGAGAGGTGAATGACTGTGGATCCCCATACTTTCCAGATCACTTTTCACAACCTCAAATGCATCGAATAGTGTTGTCTGTTTGATGTTGCAACTGCTGGATTGATGGACAGCGTTGCATGTGCACTATATGAATCATTGATGTAGGTGCAGCTTGCATCGGACACCATTTTCATAGCACTGATATTTGACACTCAGTACGCAGCTTGAGTGCCCTGTAATCTTAGGGCTTCCAGTTCAATTTATGGAGACTAATATTGCATGGCCGAATTATTTATCCCCAAGAACCATGATGCTATTTAGGATTTGAACAAGTTTTGGAGAATTCCTGCAAGTGTACTTGGCTCCTGCTGAGCTAGGTAACATGCATATCGGAACCGGCCAATTTTGGCTGTTCCAATTATTTTATTATTTTTTGCATCTCAGTCGAGTCTCTGTCAGACTCGCAGAGTCCGTCAGGCATGATTTGGACACAAGACCCTTCTGAGTTTGCAACCTGAGTCTGTGTTTTCTAGCATTGCTTGTAAGTATTGCTTATGAAGATGGGCCAGCATTTTGCCTAATGTTATTTGCAGAAATGCTTTGGATGGGCATCAATAATCACCGTGGGCATCTTGCCATATGTTGCATGTGGGCGTTTAAGAGGACCTTGGGCAGAACAAGAATGGAAACAACTATTACGATAATGCAACTCATATCGGCATTTTATTAGGGTTCACTGGGAGAGAACTAATTCTTAGGTGTCCATTCACATCGATTGATCTCTCTGTATCCATACAACATGTATAGTGCATATAATTGTGCACGTTCGTATCTGCATGTTTGTGCATTTAATTGTATGATAAGTTTCATGAGGGCCAAATCATGAGCTTCATGGAAGAATATTGGTTCTTAGTTTGTGAACCTGTGCATCATATTCCTGTGTTTGTTACCATGTCATAATGACAGACATATAGAACTGAACATGTACATCATATTACCACTAAATAGTTACATGCAAAAGCTACCATCTTGTGTCTCAAATTGCCTGAGATGTTAATGAGGATGATGACCTTTAGTCATTTATTATAATGTTATTCATGATGAATCTTCAACATTAATTCCCATTGAGGAGGATATGGTGACATGTCATTTATCAGTCTAGAAGTAACATGAGCCTACATAGTACTATCAGCATATGAGGTCTGAAACGACAGATTGAGGACTAATTCAAAACCCAAATGATGATGAACCAATCTGAAATCCTGATTGTTATCTTGGAGAGGCATAAAGGTGCAATCATTAGCAAATCACTTATCTACCAGTCAATGTTTAAGCAATTAGGTTGATTTCATTATTCATTTTCCATGGAACTTTCTATTAGCGGATTAATGAGGTTGCAGGTGTTTTGAAGACTCTGAAAGCAATCTCTTTTTTCTACTTATGAAGTTAGCCTTGCATTATAATTTGCTCTCTCATTCCCAATCATGAACTTATTTCTTGGAAGTTTTACCGATTAAATTACCATGACTTTCTCTGTTTCCCAAAATTTTAATTGTATAATTGCTTCTTTAAATTAAAATGCTAAATGTTGCAAACAACTCTTATATGACTAATTTCTCAATGAATTGCTTCTTTATACTTTCATTTCATGATTGTGGCACAAGCAGCAGTGCTGTAGTCCTGGATGTAGTTTTTTCATTCTTGAAGCATTCACCCTTGGAGCAAGACATATATAGCTTGAGTTTAAGAGCATTAAGTTGCTCCATCTGCCAAATGAGAACTGTTGCTTTGCTGAAGTTTTGCTTGATTAAGTATTATGTTCTATTATCTTCATCTTTCTTAAACCAGCTTGTTCAAGGATTTAAAATTTATAGGCTGCATTTAAGGTGTCTGTTTCTAATTTTTATTTTATTTTATTTTTCTGGTGAAAACTTTGAATGTAATGAATCGGTTAGTCCGTGGAGTGGAATGATCGTGATGCTTCTGAAGAACAAGACGGTATGGACTTGCTTCCCAACGTGGTTGGAGATGCTGGCACTCAAAGTAGTGAAAGGAAAGCTGATCCTACAAGTAGCAACCCTGATGAAAATGAATGGGATCGGCTTTTGCGTGTGAGGTGAGTGAGTATTTTTTGGATATTTGGGAGTGGATGATTTTTTATGACTGTTATTGCTTCAATGTGTTCACCAACCAGTGTATCTCCATTTCTTGCTCCCATTACTAGCTAGACATATGCTGCAATTAGCAGCCTACAGTTATGTGCTTATTAGTGTGCTATCATTTTTTTTTCTTTCTGAAATGTGATATACTGGAGTTTGCCATGTCTTAAATTTGTGGTTTCTTGCAATTCAACTGACTCTAGCCTTTTAAATGGATATCACAAGGTATTATTGCAATGCTTGGCCTGAATTTCTATTTTCAGTAATACAACAAGGTGTTGAGGATTGATCATGATTCTTGAGTTTCTGAAACTTGATATTTATTAGTGTTGAGCACCAAGCACCCATTTCAAAATTCTGCTGTTATAGTAGGATTCATCTTATCCTTAGTCCCAATAAAGTTGTGGTGGAAGTATCAGCACAAATGTTTAGCCTGAATTTCTAGCTTCAGAAGGACAAGGTGTTCAGTATTGATCATGTTTCCTGGGCTTCTCAAACTTAATTGTTCCATCAGTTTTGAACTTCAAGCGGCCTCTTCAATATTGTGGCTGTCATATAAGAATTTATCTTTTGGCCTTGAGTCATAACAGTTACTGCGAAATATTGCGAAAATTTGGGGAAATGGTTTATTTTGTGTACATGCTAATCATCTTATGAGTATAGATGTAAGTTTGATGTTATTTTTGCTGTGATTTTTCCTTGCTATGCATTCATATGCAGACTTCTTTAAAATCTTTGAAATTTTAGAATATATAGTTGGCAAAATAAGTTATGGATTTAATGGCATAATTATTAAAAAATACGTGTATATTTGGCGTTATACAAAATATAATGCCAAAGATATGGTTAACAAGAGTAAGTAGGAGAATTATTTTGCCTCTATGCATATTTATAGCAATAGAAGTGGTTTTAAGTGTTATTCAAGTATCAAAAATCAAAGGTCGCAAGATTCCCTCCCAACTTTGTTTAACAAAAAAAGGAAGAAATAATAAAATGAGCAGCCCACCAAGGCTAGCGCATCATTCGCATGGTGTAATTACTGAGGAAAGTGTTGTTTCCAAATGTTCCCAGGTTAAAAGTGCCTACAGATGGCCTTTAAAACTTGATTGTTTAAATGCATTTATTTGCTTAGAACAATGTAACTTTGAGAAACATGTAATTTTTAAATAAAACCATGCTAAGCCAATCAAAAAGAATATATGACATTTACATGTATAAAATAATGTTCTGATAGACCTTGTCAAAAAAAAAAGAAAAAGTAATGTTCCTGTAGATGTGAAACTGGAACCATGTGTTGTGTTAATTGCATCCCCCATTGTTAAAAAATGCAGACACCTAGTTCACTAGGCGGCCGTCTAGGAAACTTACGGGTATAAGGATCAGGGAAGCTTTTTGAAGGGCTTTGGTTGCTTCTAAATTATCTTAGAAACTATAGTTTTTTAGAAATACTAGCAAAACGCATTATCTGGGTCTCTGATACACCGTATTTCATGCATATATTAAATATGGAATTGCAATCGGCCCCAAATAATTGGGGTAAGGCTTGGATGATGATGATGATAATCAAATATGAAATTTCTTTTGAATTATTGGAAGTGTATAAGTCAAATAAAAAGAAAAATATGTCCAATAGGCCATGATTAACACACATTTTCCAAAGTCAACATTCCACAATATCAGTTTATCATTGCCAAGTGAAACAAAGAAAACCAAAAAAAAAAAAAAAAGGTCCCAACTCCATACTCCCAAGTTCCAACATTACATTAGATGTGATCATGATGAACTCAAATTGGTAATTGAGTTTCATCATCACTACCAACAATGTCTCTCTGTCCACCACGACCATCATCAAAGCCATTATCTGATGATTATGGTGCCATGCCATCATCATTAGAGTCGTCTCCCTCTACATATTCTTCCTTTTGCCCAGTCTACTAAAATCTGCCTCATCCTCCTCCTCCTCTTTACTCTTTTCATTCTCTTCGAGCGAGATTGAGATCTTGTGGCCCTCCTGGGGCTTAATTGACTTCCGGCTGCCCGCCATACTTGGCTTCAAGTCAAGTCTTCTCCTTCGAATGTGGGATCATCTCCGGAATTGACCAACCACTCATGTATCATCCATCTCACTGATAACGATGGTATCAATGGTATCCCTTTCTAGATAATGTTCCTTGAGATTTTGATTATACTAAACAAAAATGAGGTCGTTCAGTCTTTTCAGCTCAAGCCTGTTTCTCTTTTTTGTATCTGTTAAGTCAAATATAATGATTAATGAATGATTTTGAAAATATTAAAGAATATTAATTTAGTGGACAACAAATTAAGTTTTCAAGAGAAAGAGATTACCATCTCAAAAGAACTAAAGTTGTGGTCGCAACCAGATTAAGTGCATGTCAAGCTCCAAGATAATCTATACTTATCTAAATTTCTTGACACTTGGTCTTATTCTTCTACATGAGTTTCATTAAACACTTGTCGATTACCGACATAAAGCATCCCGTAATATCAAGAACATCTCCTTCCTAACATTTGGAGCACTTGGGTACATAGAGCCAAATCCCTTCTCATACCGGCTAAATGTTTCTTCAATCTATTGATGCCGGCATTGTATTTCTTTTTACAAAATTTGCACTCCACACAATTCTTATCATGGGCATTAGGGCACATGACATATTTTCACCTTGGATCAGATTGTTTGTTAGAACTAGAAGAAGACATCTTCACCCAATCAAAACTTGATAAGTGATAACAAGTTGAAACTTCATTAAAAAGTATAATTGCTTTACAATTGATAATTATAGAATTAAGTTACCCAGTCTTAGTAAAATGCACGAAACACAAACAAAACCCCGCTATCTATTATGGAATATGGGATATAAATCTAAAATTAACTTTAAAACAAAATACAAGAGCAAGAAACCAAATAAGAAAATTAAATAGAAATAAACAATTTCGATTAAGTTTCACAGATTTTATGAAGATTGGGTTACCCAATCTTAGTACAATGCACTAATCACAAACGAAAACCCACTATGAATTATTGGGCACAAATCCAAAATGAGAGAGAACAAAAAAACAAGAAGAAAATAAATAGAAATAACCCATTTCGATTAAAATGCTATTAAAGACAAACAAAGAACCATAATGGAATATGGGGCACGGCACAAATCCATACATAAACTCAAAATAAAAAAACAAGAACAGAATCCAAACCAGAAAAAAAAAACATATTATTGGTCCTTTTTCAATCAACAATACAATAACACACATACACTCCTATACTTGGAACTGTTACAAGAATAAAAAACAAATAATAGGGTGAAAAAAAACTAAACCATACATTCATAAACATCATATAAATCATAAATCAAGAAAATTAAAACACATGAACTTTTTAATATGCACTAGATCTTGGCTCGAATTGATGCCCCGCGAGAGCCAAAAGTCTTATGTCACAACCAAATCGACCTATAAAAAGTACCGGGTTGATTTCATTTCGATTTCGCAAGAAATCGAAAACTTTGAGAAAATTTTCATTCTTCAAAAAATCTAAAAAATTCTTGCTTTTAGGGAATTTTTCTCTCTCCAACTCAAGCAAAATAGGTTTTGGGAGGTTACAGTGGCCCCTATATTCTTCTCCCCCTCTTTTGAGGGGGGCAATTATATTTTTTTACCCTCGGCGTAGGGCATTTTTCCCCCATCTCGCACCAGGGAAAAAGGTGGCGCCTTGGGTGCCTACTCCCCTGCCTAGACGAAACTGCCTGGGATCCTGGCCTAGGCCCTAATTCGTGGCAATTGCATATTTAAACACTGGCATACCGTAACAATAGCATATGAAACTTCTTTCAGATGGGACAACGAGTGAGTTGATGAGAACTTCACTTAAAAGTGCCCACTTTATAACATATGCTGGCTTAATTTTTGGTATTAATGGAGTTAACAGAGGTTAGAGGTTGAAAATTGTTTTGAAGATTAGATAAGGTGATAACTGCAATTGCAATGGACTGGATTTGCTTCATCTTGGAAGTTGATGCTAACTGCTTGAAGTCATTTTGATTTGAGACTGGATTTGACTGTTGAAATGATCAATTAAACGATGAATGTGTAAAATAGTTCTATCTCTAAGATTTAATTTCTGAAATATTGATGTAGAACGTATTAAAGCAAAGAAGTCATTTCGTTCTCCGAAATCAAAACTATCATATTATTGTGCATAGGTGGGAAAAGTATCAAAATGAGGAGGAAGCAGCTCTTGGTCGAGGAAAACGTTTGAGAAAGGTTGTTTCCTACAAGGAAGCATTTGGTCCAAATGCAAGTGAAGCCTTAAGTGAGGTATTGAATATAAATCTAGTACATTTCATGCCTTTCTGAAAGTCTGTGTTATTTATGCCCCTGCATGTGCTTCCTATCCACTGTTGCATCCTTTCAATAGTTAAGGATCTTTGTCTTTGAAATTATTGTTCTTTGTTGCATTGCTCGACTGCTATATTCATATTACTTGCAATTCACCTCTATGGGAGTTGTTCTGGTTCTGATTCAGGGGACATGATTCTAGAAATTTTTATTTCTTCAATGCTCTTGTACAATTCAGCTTAGTGCCAACAGGAATCCAGCATTCGGTCCAAATTTATACTGTAAAAGGTCTGATTTAAGTTGTAGGTAACTGCAACTACAAATCTGGGTGATAAAAGACAAATTTAGGAAAATACAAGTGCTCTTAAGAGTTTGGAATTTTTAACTAATCACCTATTTAATGTCTTGTTGGTAGAGTTATTTGTAACCACTATCCCTTCTGAGTTTATCAATGTCTTCAGCTTACATGGCTGACAGTTAATTACACTTCAAAAATTCACATCATTGCTTCATGGTAATTGGAAAATCGCCAACTTGTGAACTCATGTGACCAAAAATGTACATCTCCCCGGAATTGATTGTCTGAGCTTGGGCTTCTAGTTGTTAGCCAAATGTACTGCCACATGCCCTGTAAGTGTTTTGCTTTCCCAAATGTTGGTCAGGAATCGGTATGAAATTGGAAGGTGTCTGCATCGTGCTGGATAAGTCCTATGTGAATGTCACTTTCCCGTTCCTTCATGAATATGTTGTAAAGTTTGTCTCATTGTTCTTTTGTACTGTATGTTGCATTTAAATATAAAAAAATCACTCTTGCATATCCTTTCATTTTCAGGAGTCATCTGAGTCCTTTCATCTCAAACTCTAGAGCATGAGTTTATAGAATTTTCTGCTATTTACTAAATCATGCTTCAATGTATTCTTGCATTTCATTTTCACACAAAATTTATTCAGTTTGTTATTCTACTGTGGATTTAGTCCAGATAACACCTCTAACTTACATTGAATTCTCTCAAAAAGCTGATACCCTAGCTATGCTTTGTTGAAAGAATAAACACCTGTCAATTAATCAGAAACTCTTTTCACAAATCGCCTGCATTTTCAAAACAAATGTATTCTTGTAGTTTGTTATTCTATTCTGAAATGAGTCCAGATAACACCCCTGGCAATTCTTGGCAAAAAGAAAAACCACCTGTCAATATATCAGAAATTTTTTCCACAACTGCCTGTATATTAATTGTTCTCCATTATGGAAATTTGTTTTCTTTTTTTGTAGAAATTTATCCTATAAAAGGTTGTTCTTACTGAAAAAATACCCACGTCAACTACTCGGAACCTAAATTGAAAGCTGAATGTTCTTGGAACTGTTTTTGGTTGTTTCCCCCAACCCCGCACCCCATCCCCCAAGAAACACACACACACAAAAAAAAAAGAGAATGAAAGAAAAAGAACTTCCAGATGTTTTCTTTTTTTTTTTTGGCTCCCTAACTTATAGGTTATATAATGTTGTCTTACTCCCCCCCCCCCACACAAACAAAAAAAAAAAACCAACCCAAAAAAAAAAGAAAAAAAATCTCTCTTTTGTTTGCATTTTTTGGGAAATTATCCAAAAATCCCTAGTTTTTTTTTAAATTTAAAGAATATCAGAACTATTAAAAATTTACATTCATACCCAATTTTGTATGTTTTTTTCCCGCCTGAAATGCCCTTCACAGCCCTAATTGCGCCATGATGCCCAAGCCACCCACTTGAGCGGCATTCTGACCCTATCATGGCCAAGACACCCCCTTGTGTGCTTCATTATGGCCCTATTAGAGCCATGATGCACCATTAGGCCCACGACGCCCAAGGGTGCATCAAGACATCCAAAGGGGTGCCTTGGGCATCATTACCCAATTATAACCATGAAGGGCATTTTGGGCAGGAAAAAAAACTGTGAAAAATTGGGTATAGATGTAAATTTTAAAAGTTCTGGTATTTTTTGAATTTTAAAAAAGGTATATTTTGGATAATTTCCTCTTTTATTATTATTATTTTTCCAGGTCACTAATCTAGCTTGGGGTCCAACAATCTGACACGGATCTATGGGGTCTACGATCGATCCCACTGATACGTGTTTTCAAACACTTCTTTTTAAATATTATGTTTAAGTTTTTCTTGAGTTTCAACCAAAAAACAATTTGATTTCATTAAAAATTAGAGAAAATATTTGAACCCTTTCTAGCACAACTTAGAACAATTATAACAAGATTAAGAAAATATATGCAAAAAAATTCAGATTTTAGTGAAACTTTTCAGGAAAATTCTAAACTGATCCAAAAAATTAAATAAATATAAATACTATTCAAAAAACTAGTTGGTTTAAATGAATTCCCAAAGAGGTAGTTGATTGGAACGCCAACAAATTTCGGATCAAAGGAAAGTTTTCAAGAAAACCCTAAACCGAGCCAAAAATTTTAAAATAAATATAAATATCATCAAAAAATTAGATATTTGATTTAAATCGATCCTAACCCCTTTTGGATCAAATTAGAAAAGTGTCGTTTTTGTTTTTTTGAAACTGCAAAATTAGAGATGAGTTTTTCAGGAAAACCATAAACCAAGCCCAAGAAATATAAACTAAATATAAATATTACTCAAGAAAATCGGACACCTGGTTTGGATGAATCCCTACCCCTTCTGGGTCAAACTCCCTCATGAAATTATTGATTTAAACTCTAAAAAGTAATTTCAGGCCATAGAAAAATTTTCTTGGAAAACTCTAAACCAAGCAAGAACTAATTAAGATAAATATAAATTAAAAAGCATAACCAATGTTAACCCCTTCTTGATCAAAAATCCCAAAAGAAATCTTTGATTCGAACTCCAAAAATTTTCATATTAGAGACTCAGAATGTTGATGACAAAAATCCTGAAAAGTTTTTGTACACGAACACCCGTTATGTGGGTGCTTCATTTTTTGTACTCCTTTTAACACTTACAAAAATACAACAGTTTACCATTTTCAAAAAAAAAAAAAAAAAATCCTGAAAACTTTCGTCATTGATCTCTTCAAAAGCTGGTGGATTTGATCCAACATATTTGCAAAGCACTTTGATAGAGGACTGAATCAAGTTTTAACAATCAAATTTCTAGTACTTTGGTTGCAATTCGAGTGAGAAATCAATAGTTTAGTGGATGGGCCATTTAGGGATCAATAAACTGCTGTTTTTGATGAAAATATCCCGAGTTGTACCTGTGACTTCTTAAATCATGATCAAAATATTGTCAGTAAGCCACTAATGGGAAAATCCTTGCTTGTATAAGAAGCTAAATTCTTCTGTCCTAGAAACAATGGTCTGAAATGAATGACATGCTATGGTGGTTTAGAGTCTTCTGAGAATCTTTTAAACACTATTTTATTTTTCAACTCTTAAATTTACTGCTCTGAAGTATTTTATTATTATTAAATGTGATTCAGACCTCTTCCATTCAGTTTCTTAGGCTAACAATTCCCCTTAGGTTGTATAATCTTACATGCACGTTTTCTGAAAACTGTTTTTGTGTGCGGCATCTAACATTTCTGGTTTATTGCCTCTAGTATTTCCACTGTCAGCTTGGCATGTGCAATTAACTTGCTGCCAAATTTACCACACACGTATTCAATGTTTCTTCATTTGAAATGGTTTTGGAATTTTGAAATCTATTCATCTTAGATACATGCGTATCGCATCCAACATGTCAAAAGACCAAGTTGGGAAGAAGGAACCAATACACAATAGGTGCTCCCCCCATATGTCAAAATAAAGAGTGGTTTTAGAACTTTGAAAACTATTCAGCTTAAGTGGATGCTTATTACATCCAACAGGTAAAATACAGAGTGATTAACTTAAAAATCTATTCAGCTGAGACAAATGCTTATTGCATCAGTTTTGTCAAAATACAGAGTGAGAATGAAGAAGAGGAACCTAAGGTGGACTATTCCCCTGCAGGCCGTGCTTTCAAGATGAAGTTGTGAGTGAAAAATATCTGATTCTTGTGCTCAATGTTTGCCTTCTCAATTCGACGTCCTTGTCTGATTTATCCATTATTTAAACAGTGCTAAGCTCCGTGTTCGACAAAAGGAACGGATTGCTCAAAGGCGTGTCATTCAAGAACATCTTTCTGCATCAGTTAAACAACATCAGGAACCAGAGCAGATTCTTTTGTCCAGCCCTCCGCCCTCTAGCAAAGTTGGTGAGGATCATCATACCGATGCCAACAGAGATCAAATAACTAAACTTAGCTCATCGGACCAGAAATGCTCAGAACCTCAGTCATCTGATGCTCCAAAGGACATTGGGCGCGTCAAGCAGCTTAATGGGTCCCAAGGGCCTAGCTATATGATCTTTCCTTGCCCTGCTTTTCCTGACCTCCCTCCTGGAAATCTCTCGACCAACATATTTTGCAATCTTCCAAGTATGGGTTCACTGAATTCAGTTCCCACAAAAACACAATTGCCAGTTGAGACAAGCACGTGTCATAAAGTCGATTCACTTTCGAAGACATTTCCATTGTTTCAGATGCCATGGCAACCAAACTATGAGCGGATCCCCGGAGTTCCAGAATCTTCAGATCATGCAGCTCAAAGGATGCTTCCTTTTCATCTGCCCCGTGGCATTGGGGCTGGCACAGAGGTCAAAACTAGAAGCCGAGAATTCATGGCTCCCGGTAGTTTTCTTTCCCCTGATGCATCTCCAGATGTCATGCTTCAACGATGGCCAAACAATGGCACCCATGACAGCTCCTTCCCTTCCAGTTTGGTATGTGCGTTTGTTTGCTTTCCATCTTTATAATGTCTAGGGCAATTAGGCTATTATCTTATGACTATGGAAAATCCTCACGTATGAGGGCCATACCCCATCCATTGTTTGGGATGGGGGAAGAGAGGGTGAACATGACATGGTGGTCACCCTTGATTTCCTTCAATGATGAGGATTGTAGTACATTTCCCTAATCTCTGGATCTTGTCCCAACAAGCTTGTTCCTCTTTGTCTAAAAAGAGTATTCTTTTAATGTGCAGAATCCCTTGAATGGAAGGATTCCTTCTCAAGATTCTTCAGGCGCCTCTCACTTGGCTTTCCCAACCAAAGCACCCACACCAGAAGAAAGAAGCCTACTCAATATGAACCCTCCACTATCATCAACTGTTTCGGAGTCCCTTCCCTTCCCTTCCCCAAGCTTGTCACTGGGTAGGAACTCAGAAGCTTCCAGGAGATTGCTTCAAGACTTGCCCCTATTACCCCCACTGCCTAATTTCAAGTTTCAAAGGAACAATAATGAGGTGGAGGAGCCCAATCAGCAACAATCGAGAGAAATGCCGGATTGTTCTTATGGTTTGGGCCAGATTCAAGCCACTTATTCCTCGTTAACAGAAAGCCACAAGCGGGTGCTAGAAAACATAATGTTGAGGTGTGGAAACTTAAAGTCGAAGAAGCAGCCATGGTCAGAGGACGAGCTTGATTCCCTATGGATTGGTGTTCGAAGGCATGGAAAGGGGAATTGGGACATCATGCTGAAAGACTCAAATCTAGGCTTCTCAAAGCACCGTGCAGTTGAAGACCTTTCCAAGCAATGGGAAATGGAGCAGCTCAAGATCACAGGTGGGTCCACACTCTCACCAGTGCAACCACCACCGCCACCACCAAAGCAGTCTGATCCTTTTCCAGCCATTCCAGAAGAGATGATGAACCGAGCTTTAATGGGGAGTCGGTTTGCTACTCCTGGTGGGGCTGATGAGTTCACTAACCCACCTTTATTTCGCGGGTTTCCAACAGATATCCAACTTAGGCAGGGGGGCTTGACAAGGGGCCAGAACTCCTCTTTTTCAATGCCAAAACTCAGCAGAATGAATGTGGGGAATATTATGGACAGATCCTCAAAAAGTGGAGGAACACCAGCTCCTGAACTCCCATTTCTAACCGAAGGCTTAAGTGCTCTCCCTCCTTTAGGCCTTGGTGATTTAACCCAAAAGAAAGAGGACAAATATGGAAAACTGCCAAGCTATTTGGACCAGTCATTGAGTTTTCTGAGGGACTCAAGAAGTAAGCTACGTAATGTGGATCCCCCAAATGGATCAGGGACCATCTTTCCAAATGAACAAGATCATGGGCTTGGCTCTGGCTCTTGTCCTTCGCCAATGAAGGATGAAAATGAAAACCTCTCTGCAAAAAGCAATCTACCTCATTGGCTTAGGGAAGCGGTTCGGCCTCCAAGTCCTCCAATTCTTCCCCCGACTGTCTCTGCTATTGCCCATTCGGTGCATGTATTATATGGAGACAAGCAATCGATCCCCCCATTTCCTAAACCAGGTCCCCATCCTTTACCACCGAAGAATCCTCTGAGGCTCAAGAAGAAGAGCAAAGCACACAATCATGGAGAGCAGACAGGCAGTTCCCATGAAAAGAGCCATGTTCCCTCACCCATTCTGTCGTCTCCAACTTCTTCAATGCCGATGATCTGCTCGAGTGGTTTTTCAGGGGGTGAGACCAAGATTAGTCTCCCTCCATTGGGCCTTACGATCCCATCTACCTCAGTTCCTTCCGGACCACTCCCCCTTCCCTACCCTACTGACCGCAAGGCATTGCCTTTGGGATTGGGCCAAACAACCATTTTGCGTTCCCCTGACATACTCGGCTTGGCAGCCTCGTATGTCACACCAGCCCCTGGGGTTTGTGTGGGTCCCATTGATGTAAGCTTGAGTCTCACAAACGTTGACGGGCCTTCATTGGTTAATGGAGACGGAAATGAGGAGTCTTACGACAGGGAAAGGGGACTTGAGGGGCTCAGTGATGGTTGGGGGTTGGGTATAAGAAAGAAGCGTGGGGGTAGGAGAGCGTATCAATCAGGGTCTTGGAGGGCTGCAAGCTTAAAAGTGGAGAGTGGTTCAAGTGAATCAAAGGGGACGGAGTCAAAGGAGACTGCATCGGAAGATGTTGAAGAAGCTGCAGGATCGGGGAATGGTAGCCCATCTTCTTGATGTTTAAGGCTTCAAGGTCTCTATTCTTTTTGCAGGCAGTTTAGAGAGCACAGTGATGGCCAAAGGACATAGGGAAGCAGCGGCATTACTGGTTGGATCTGCTGCTTTCAAAAGCAATTTCTTCCCAATAGAGAAAAGAGCAGACATCTTACCCATCTTTGGATCTGTTGCTATGTATAGAGATTTCTTACCTAAAAATTTTCTTCTTTCAGGGTTAGCTTCCTTACCCTTTTCTAAAGAGAAAAACAAATCACATATATATTTTTTGGTTTTTACTTGGGTAGTTAGATGGGGATTGGGTCCGCCTCTATATCATATATACTGCATTTCTTGTGATGTCGCTTACCAAAAAAGAAGGGAGTTTCATATCATGATCATTGTCCATTTTTTAATGAGAAAACTATATCATACATACTGGATTTCTTATGATATCGCTTCCCAAAAAAGAGAAGTTTCCTATCATGTTTATTGTCCATTATGATCTTGCCTTGCTATAAGAACCATTGATTTGTTATAGTTATTAATATCGTTGGAGTATATTTCTACCCCCACAACCGCCCTTGATAATCAGTGTTACCTTGTTGCGTGGTAGGATGGTCCCTCAGAGGTACCAAAGTTAGAGTAAGTAAACCATGCTCCCTTGGGAGCATTGTTTACTCCTACTCCCTTGGTCAGAATATCTATTTAAGAGGACTTTCTTAATTTGAAATTATGGGAAGTACTTAAGAATTATTAGATGACTATTCAAACAAAAAAAAGTATCAAAATTTGAGTTTCTTAACACAGATTTCACCGTCCAAAACTTGGATGATTTATATTCGAGACATTATTTTATTCAAGTTTATAGATGGTACAATTAGATTTCATTTTATTTTATTCTTTATTAAGGTTAATCGACCTTTTGAAGAGGTAATGTCTCCAAAGTCTTGACCTAAAATTAATTCTAGATGGAGTTTTACCCGAGGGAATAAATGGAGATTTCCTGAACGGAGTATACTATTTTTTTGGCCAAATTATTAGTGAGCAACCACGAAAGCAACAGGCGCCTGTGACATATGGTGAAACTTTATTGCTTACTTGTGGATTGCACATGTGCTACACCTAGAATGGAAGAGATGAAGAAATATAATATCAGTGGACAAAATATTTCATGAATTATTTCGTATTTGATAGGGATTTGAAAGGGAAATGCTGCGGACTGCAGATGATTGTACAATGAAGCAAAATATGTGTTGTTTCAAACATTTAAATAACGAAAAAGTTCATATAAGGTTGACGTCTTTGAGGTTGAAAAACCATCTACTTGATCATCTTGACAAAGAGATGTATAGATATAGAGATGTATGGATATGAAAAAAAAAAGATTTTAATTCCCCCAAAATAGCACAATTTGCAATACATTATCAGGACCGTCTATTTTCAAGATTTTCATGCGTTTAGGTGAAAAAGAGAATCCAAAGTTTGTCTATTTTCAAGATTTTGATGAAAAAGAGAACCCAAAGTTTATGAAGAAGTAAAGCGTCTCAGAGGGAGATGAGGATTGGCATGTCCTAAAATGTCATCCCCCATAAAAGAAGCTCATTGAGTAAATGCCAAGAGAGTCATGCCAAACCAAAGGCTATCGAATGCGCCATAGCTTAGCTCACCTCTGCCCAGCCAACATTTAACTGAGCTGGTTGAGGTGATTGAGATAGATGACAAGGCTCCAAATATCTAGATGAATATGCTAGACAAGGCGCTAGCGTGTTCTTTTAGCTCCCCAGTAAAGGACTTTAACATGCTTTAAGTTTGGGCCACTGATGCAGAGCTATCCTAAGGGATAGGGCCATCTGCGTTTTTTGAAGGTGGAGACGATTTCAAAAGGCTGTTCGTGCAAAGATTCTTGAGATTTAATGGTGTTGATGACTTTGGATAATGGTTGTCCATGACGAATGATACATTTTATAAACCTCATGTGATTTGGCTGTGGTTTAAAGGGATCCCTATTCATGCTTGGACTAAAGAGGTGCTCTCCAAGATTGCTATGCACTATGAAAAACTAGTTGAAGTTGACTGGTTCACCTTGGTTGGGCCTTCCTTGGGGTGCTTAGACTCAAAGTTCAAACAATGCTACGTACTTCTATCCCCACTAAGTTCTCCATCAAAGTCCTTCGAGAGATTTTTGCAGCTTTTGTCATTTAAGAAGAAGGTCCGGCAATAGTTCTTAGATAGGACTCAAAACCTTCTTGCTCAGCTGGTGTTAAGCCCTGTATGAAGGATGTGGAGGAAGTTTTCAAGAACCAGCAAGCTCTTTCTCTAAAGGGTGGAACTTTGGCCCAACAATGGAACTTGGTTACTAAAAAGAGAAAGAGCCACCATCACCAAGCTAGTCGTTTGCCAAAAAAGCAATCCAATAAGCAGGTTTGACGAAGAAAGGCCATTGGCCTAGGCTCTGCTCCCTTGAATGGCGAGAAGGGACTCAGCAACTCCAGTTCAAATTCAAACTTTTCAAAAGTTGTTTATCATGCCATGCACTAAAGTGTTGGTGTACCCAAGGGTTGATTGGATTCTCGGCCCCTATTCCAAAAGTCTACCTTCGAAAAAGGTGAATTGTTGAGGTACAAAGATTTTAATGCCTCACTCGAGAGTACCCAAGCCATGTCTCTTTAACGCTCTTCATTGACATCTTTGCTTGAACTAACCCTCATCGTACATGTGGCAAATCTGATGGCCAGGCAGTAGGTTAGTGTCATGAGCCTGCCTCCTGCCCCCTGCCGCACATGCCGAAGGACGATACGGTACAAGACTGCGACCACATATAGTGAATGCCACTTAGATGGGAGTGTGCTCAATGCTTGAAAAAAATGGAAATCAAAGCCAACCACAAAATAAAAACCAAACTAACAAAACACGAAGCACACAACCCACAAACATACTGCGCAATTCACAACATAAAATTTCATAAGGTAGATCCAAAATATTACAAGAGAATCCAGGGCACCAAAGGCTCAACAACAATACATAGTTCCAAAGCAAAAACAACTATATGGCCAAACTGCCATCCAACATATACAATCAAAACGAAGCTTCCTCAAGAAGTCCAGGGCTCCAACCGCCAGCCGCGATCACCAGAGTGCCCTTCCACAAACTCAGCGGCTATCGTTCCACATAGATGAAAGTTAAAGGAGTGAGCGGTAAAGCGCAGTAAGTAGATCACGGTGCCATGCTTTCCTACCTATGAATATCATCTCACAACAATGCTCAAGGTGCTATGCCATTCTTATAAAACATGAGTCGTGTGTCATAATCATATCTATCATTGTTCCATGCATGATTCAAAGTGAAGCAATAACAAATCAGATCAATCATACATGATAGGAAGCAGAAGTCAATTAAATCATTCGACCATACAACTCTTAGCAAATCAACATATGAAGGTAAGCATCAACAATTTCTAACTAACTCACTCCTTAATTCGCCTACTCTTGAAGTAAAATCCCTATCCGTCAAGCCAACCTAATCCCATTGCTTAGGATTTCTACCATCATGCAGGAAGGAAAACAAGGGGAATCCATTTTGTAATGCTTTCACACACACACACACAGTCCCCAGCGTGCTTTGGGGCAAGACACTATCCGTTACACTACCGTGGCCAGAAGTGTTCTACCTTTTAGATGCCAATCACTAGGAATGGGGGAGCGACCACCCAAACATCATCTACCCCTATCATTGGGCGAGCCGGAGAGGTCATAAGTCAGGTAATGGAATACCCTCAAAGCATGCCAATCAATCACATATCACAGCATGGTTATGCAATACGCTCAAAGCATGCCAATAAATCACATATCATAGTATGGTCATGCAAGATGCTCAAAGTATGCAAATCAATCACATATCACAGTATGGTCATGCAATACGCTCAAAGCATGCCAATAAATCACATATCACAGTATGGTTATGCAATACTCTCAAAGCATGCCAATCAATCATATATCATAGTATGGTCATGCAATATGCTCAAAGCATGCCAATAAATCACATATCACAGTATGGTCATGCAATACGCTCAAAACACGTCAATCAATCACATATCACAGTATGGTCTTGAAATACGGTCAATGTATGCCAATAAATCACATATCACATATCACATAGCTGACCACACAAGTCTTTTCACATATTGCATATCACATGTCACATAGCATGTCTCAAAATCATGCACACATGTCACAACAGAACATGTTTCATAACATGTACACATATCATAACAGAGTATGTCTCATTACATGCATTCATAACATAACAGAGCATGTCTTACTACATGCATTCTTATCATAACAGAGTATATCTCATTATCATGCATTCATACCACAACAAAGCATGTCTTACTACATGCATTCATATCATAGTTGAGCATGTCTTACCACATGCATCCATATCATAACAGAGCATACTTTCATTTCATAACAGAATATGCCTCTTTGTCATGCATTCATTTCATAACGGAGCATGCAATCATTCCATAGCAGAGTATGCCTCATTGTCATGCCTTCATTTCATAACAAAGCATGCGTTCATGCACACATATCATAATAGAAATAGATTCATATGAAACAATAATATGTCCAAAGCATACTACATATCATCAGGCTCAATAGCTCAAATGACATCTTTCGATTATTTTTCTGGTTTTTCATTGTGAACACGATCCACTTAACGCTCTTCATTGACATCTTTGCTTGAACTAACCCTCATCGTACATGTGGCAAATCTGATGGCCAGGCAGTAGGTTGGTGTCATGAGCCTGCCTCCTGCCCCCTGCAGCACATGCCGAAGGACGATAGGGTACAAGACTGCGACCACATATAGTGAATGCCACTTAGATGGGAGTGTGCTCAATGCTTGGAAAAAATGGAAATCAAAGCCAACCACAAAATAAAAACCAAACTAACAAAACACGAAGCACACAACCCACAAACATACTGCGCAATTCACGTCATAAAATTTCATAAGGTAGATCCAAAATATTACAAGAGAATCCAGGGCACCAAAGGCTCAACAACAATACATAATTCCAAAGCAAAAACAACTATATGGCCAAACTGCCATCCAACATATACAATCAAAACGAAGCTTCCTCAAGAAGTCCAGGGCTCCAACCGCCAGCCGCGATCACCAGAGTGCCCTTCCACAAACTCAGCGGCTATCGTTCCACATAGATGAAAGTTAAAGGAGTGAGCGGTAAAGCTCAGTAAGTAGATCACAGTGCCATGCTTTCCTACCTATGAATATCATCTCACAACAATGCTCAAGGTGCTATGCCATTCTTATAAAACATGAGTCGTGTGTTATAATCATATCTATCATTGTTCCATGCATGATTCAAAGTGAAGCAATAACAAATCAGATCAATCATACATGATAGGAAGCAGAAGTCAATTAAATCATTCTACCATACAAATCTTAGCAAATCAACATATGAA